ATATACCTCGTCCCGCAGCATCGGCACAGGAGAGATGCAGCTGTGAAGCTGTTACCCCTGGGAGACCCTCTGCAAACTTCTCTCACTTGAGCCAGATGCCCGAGACACCCTGAGGAAGCCTGTGCACATCCCAGGCCCCAAATGCCAGAACTCTGCTCCATTCAATCAGTCCTCAATCTGCCAGGCCACCAGCGACCCCCTGGTGCAAGGGGACAGGGAGTTCACAGGTACATGTGGGCATTTTGCCCTGGCAAGCCCCGCACGGACTCTTCCTAAGGAAAACTAGCTAGGATTGGTCTTTCCTGCTCCTTGGGATGCCTGGGCACCTCAGCATCCATTTGCTCGCTATCAACAGGAATGCTTGAGGCAGCAGCCCGGGCGCTGCTGGGACATCACCTAACACTTCTGAAGGATTTAAACAAGTTTTTGAGACGAGTCCTTGTAGAACAACTTCACAGAGGGCCAAGAGCAGCATAGAGAGAGATGGATTTTAGAAAGCAGAGCGAATCAAAGGAGCAGCCCCGGGCAGTAAAAGCATACGGAGAACAGTGAAAGCACCAACCCTCCAACATTCCCGACATGCTCCGAGACGAGCAGGCTCGGCGAGGCCCGGCCCGCGCTCCGCATCGCGGAGGAGCAGACCCGGCTCTCAGACACTCGCGAGCCGCTCCGGAGTCTCCTCTGACCCTTCCCCTTGCTGGGAGAGCACGGATCAGTTACCATTCCGAGGGAAGGGGAGCGCTCCACTCCGTGCGCAGACAGAAATGCTGCCCTGGAAAAAAGCTAGGCTTAGTTTAAGACTAGGAATACTGTACGGCTCTGGCCTTTTAAGCTCAGGAAAAACATTTTTGCATTAAATTAAAAAAAAAAATAGCTGGCAAATGGAGTGAGGGCCGGAGCTGGAGCAGCAGTCAATGAAAAGCACATGCGCTGCAGGCCGGGCTGCCAACACAAATTGATGCTTCGAAACAAAGACCACTTGTGTTTGGTTTGAGGATCTTCCCCAGCTACTCGGAGAGGGCCATGTGGATTAAAAGGAGATACAGGTAAGTGCCCGCCAACAGCTCGGGGCTGCCAACGATTTCCCCAGAAGGGAGGAACAACCTGACGTGGAGACCTTAACCCACCGCAGCAGCTCAGATTTGTCCCGGTCCTGCTATCGCACAGCAAAGCGAGCGGAGCTGGCAGGGAATCAGGGACAATCTGCAGGTATGAAGGAACAGTCTGGTGGGAGCCGGACAGAAATTGCAACAGCTCCTGTCACAACACAAGCCTGAGGCTGTGTGGGGCCTGAGAGATGGGAGGACACTGCTCCCTCGTACAGCACCCAAGCTAAGTGATGCTGGGATCTGCTGGCCCAGGCAGCAGGCAAGAGTGGGCAGAGATGAACAGAGAGCTGAGACCTCACCAGCTCAGCCACCATCCCAGCAGGTTCCAGGTTAAATCACCCAATTAGAAGGATCTCTGCTTGCTTTCCTAAACAGCAGCTTTGGCATTCGGAAGTGAGCGCACAGCTCCTAAAGAGGCCATGCCAGGGTGACCCACCTTGCTCACGCTCCCTCTGACCACACACCTCAAAGGTGAGACGCACAACGTACCTGGGCAGCCGGGAGCTCACGGGGAGGTCAGAAAGAGCCCTGCAAATCTCCACGCCGTGGCACGGCTCAGGGAAAAGACCCTCTTCCTGCAGGCAGCTACGCAAAGGGCCGGAAACCCTGCAGCCTGAGACCTCTCCCAGAGCACAAACCTCCACCCTCGCGAAGGGTCGCCGCTCGCGTGTCTCGGGCATCCCGTCGGCCTCCTCCGAGCCCACCGCCGGCACTCGTGCGGGCCGGCCTAGCCCGTCGCTCTGCGGCGGGACAATGGCACGTCCTCGGCTCCCGGGGGAGCCCGTGAACGCCGCGGCGCGGCGGCGCTCACAAAGAGCAGGCTTGTACCTGAAAGCGTCCGCTGCTAAATGAGCATTTGTTCCCACTTACCAAATCTCGAAAGCGGTGGAAAACACCCACTGCTAACGTGAAATATTTTGCATTCCAGAACCGAGAACTATGCTTGACACCGTTCAGAGAGGAAAGAGAGTTTATTTTAGAGAGGTGTAGGTCCGGCTATTTACTTAGGCCCACGTGTACTTGCTAGAAGACAGCTTTGATCTTTGCAGCTCAAATAGCAGATGAATTGCAAGGAAGGGAAGAAAAATATTAGTGTAAAGTTCTCCTAGTAAATACCTGTGCTGAGGCCTTGGGATCTTGAGACTGTCTGAAGAGTCTCATCACTCACACCCAAACCGGCCCAGGCGTTCCTGCCCGAAAGCCAGGCTCTTCTCTCTAGTCTCCCTTCCTACCTTTTTCCCATCCTTCCTCTCGGGCTCCACGGCCTTTCCACAAAGGACCATCTGCCCTCCCGGTGGGTCAACGTGGCCCAGCCTTTAGTCAAAGGAAGAAAGTGAGACACGCTCACCCAAGTAACGCATGGCCCTCACCTGCCTGGTGCCTTAGGAGGGTTTTGTTGGATGGGGAGGATTCATGTTCTGATTGGCAAGAGACACAACTAAACACAGCTGCTCATCAAGGTCTAAACACCTACCCATCTGCCTTTAGCAGATGCTCTTGTTTCACAACAATGAAGACACCGGAGCCCATCCTTAAAGAAGGGTGAACATGACGTCTCCATACCCCGGTGCCAGTCTTCAGTGGCCCAGGAGATGGTGGACCCACTCCGAAGAGGACACCAAGGTTTGGGACATAAGAACGGGGCTGACTTGTGACCGCTTTGCCCCCAGATGGCCCAGAAACGCACCAAGTAGCACAGCCCTTCGGCCACCATGGGAACGCTTGCGCAGATAGATGATCCCAGTGATTTTCCTGGCTGATGAGAACTCCAAGCTGCTGGGAAACAGATGTTAGCTGCAGCTCGGAGAGCAAAAGTCACTCAAGTTGCAGCTCTGGAGATTTATTTCAGAGCCTCAAAAACCAAGAGAAACTCCCGGTTCCCATCCAATAGGGGTATATCCTCCATGCAATATCCCTGCTCCTTTAGGGAGGGCCTCGCTCCGGAGCGCTGCTCCGGGGGAAGCTCAGGCACGCACAGTTTGACACTGGCCACGGAGGCCCTTTCAGAAACAAAACCAGAGCCTGGGGTTTTCTTGGCTTTGAAGAAGAGTCGATTCAGCAAATACTTCCTCCACCAGCGCTTCGACCGCACGCTCCGGCGGAGGGCGGCCCACGTCGCACCCGCTGCAGTGTCATCCATGGCTGCAAAGCGCCGCTGGAACGGCCGCCCGGGAGCCCGCGGCGCGGCCACAAGGCGCTCCGGCAACTCCTACGTGGCAACGAGGAGCCCCCCGAACGGGGCTGAGGTCGCAGCCCCGGCCTCGTCCCCACGCGGCCCCTGCGGCTGAGCAGGGGGGTCCCTCACGACCACCGAGCAGGCCGAGCTCGCGCTGCCCCTTTGGAAGCGACTTTCCCGGCATCCCGCCACGACAGCGCCGGTTCCC